TTTTATTAAATCTAAAAATTTATATAATTAGGATATTATAAGAAAATTAAGAATTTTTAATAATCATTTGATAAAGGTTTGTTTTAGATTTAAAGTTTTTTAATAAAATTATGATTTGCTTAATTTCTGGATCAAATACAATATCTATATTTAAATAAAATAGTATATAATTAATTAAATTTCAATTATCTATTAAACGAAAAATATAGTAGTATTGCTCAGAAATAAAAACATCTATTTTAATTATTTCATTAAATGAGTTTTAGATTATTGTTTAAGAAGGTTGTGTTAAGTAAGTAACGAATATTTGATAGCTAATAATTAAATATTTTTTCTATTGTTTTAAATATTTAAGAAAAATTAATGTAAGTAAAGCGAAGTATTTATTTTCATTTTTAACCAGTTTTTATTTGTAAAATAGTAAGATAGGAGATAATTTGTAGATGCAAAGGTCATATAACAAGTATTGTCAAAAATAATAATAATAATTTTATTGACTAATTTGCACTTTATATGAAGGTATCAATAATTTAAAGCAAACAGTTAAATAATCATTAATAATAAAATAAAAGTATTATTGTTAAATTTAATTTTAGTGTATTAAAAATCATATTTAAAAGCTTAAACTAAAAATTAGTTGCTAAAAATTTTAATGAAAATTTGGCAAGTAGTATTAAGAGATTTCATAAGCGGCATAACATTAAAAATGAGTTTACATGGAATGAAATATTTTAACATAATTCATTGAAACATAGATCTTTTATCATTCCATTTATTTTAAGAATATTTATAAAAGTTTAAAATTAATAACATTGATTTGAAAGCTGAATTACAAAATTTTATTAAAAATGAACCTTAAAAAAATATATATAGTCTTATGATCTTTATATATTTTTCAGCATTTAAGGAAATGTAATAGTGAAGTGAGATAAATAATTTTTTTAAAAAATTTTCTTATTTATATATTATATTAGTGTATAAATATGTTAGTATTTTATATTTATTATTATATAAAAATATTCTATTTGCTATTGCATTATATATATATATATATATATATATATATATATATATATATATATATATAATTTTGTACAATTTTAAATCAATACTTGCCATAAGCTAATTTAATTAATATATTAAATTCACGAATCTTCTATTGTTCTTGAATAACAGGATATCTATACGCGGACACTCATACACACGTCTTCATATAAATTGATAATCTGGTCGACATTGTAGCAACTGCCTATAAGCATACTATTATTTATACCGTGTTTTATTCATACACCAATATTGTAACAAATACAACGCGGAGTTCAATTCATGCTTCCTTGAATTTATTTTCAATCGGTTAATTCAATTTCAATAAAGTTTACATGTACATTGGGCATATGCATGTAATTATGATATGATGAAAAGTATTAACAAGTTTTGTAATATATTTTAAAAAGTAGTATGTGTAACATTTATTGTTTATTTTATTTGATTGTTATTTTACGAAAATTCAACCGTGTTTTTCATTTTAAAACAGTTTATATTATCTGAAATAATATCTACCTGTTCTGTATTTGCTTTTCCGAATGTTGTGCATTCCATCTTTCTTTTTTTACTTATTCACATATGTTTTTCTATTACTTTTTTCCTTTAATAGTTTTAATATAACATCTTCAAATAAATAAAATTATGTTTAGCAACACATTTATTAATTATATGAAAAATATTTCATAACTAAATACTAATTGGTTTTGAAATACAGATGTTCTAATATATTTATGAAATATTACAATTTAATTATAGTTCAGATTTAATCATAATTATAAACATTTATATTTTACCTCTATTTTAGTTTCATTAAATTAAGATAAGATATTAATATAAAGTACTATCTAAATTGATTTTAAATTACTGCTTTATTATGGTTTAAAGATCTTTTATGATTACTTCATCAAGACTCTTTATTCATTTGAATTTAAGAAAATATAATCACATTAATTTTTAAGAAAAATCATATATTATAATGAAATTGACAAAAAATATTAATTAATCGGGTAAGAAATCCAACTGTAATTATATATATATATGTATATAATTATAAAATTAATTTAATATTTACAATCTATTTTAATAATATGTAAATGTTTTCAAACGTGCAGGATTACTTAGTAAAATTAAGAAATTAATGTTTCCATTACAAGTGTTATATATGTTACACTATCGACTATCAGAAAGTTAAATATTCTTAGTGGCTAAGAATAATAATTTAGCTAAATGGTTTTTTTTAGAATAACACTTTAGAACATGTATACTAATTAGTAAGAACATCTTGAAATAGATAAAGTAAATTTTTAAAAGAAATCTTAAAATTGTAATTTCATGAGATATAAATGAAATCGCTTATGAATACTGAACAATATTTTGATATTAAAAATTAAAAAATTAAAAAAAATAAAAAAAAATAAACATTTTTATATTAAATAAATAAATAAAAAGTTATTGTACAAAGTAAACCACTAAAATCATTCTTTTATATTCAGATTTATTTTACATTTTATATAATATACCGTAGAAAAAATTAGAACAGATTTTCTAAATATTTAATTTTTTAAATATGTTGCCAAAAATAATTAATATTATATTTTTCATTTACGTACAAATGTGCTTCAAAAACTTGAACAATACAATTTATTTCTGTAAATTATATTTTAATATTTGAAAAATCTATCAAAGTTAAAACAATATGAAATTTTGATTAGGAAAGAGTTTCTTATTGATACATAGTAATTTATGAATAGCGATTGTTCATCTACAAATATAAATAATTATGTTCTATCACGGGTAGTAAATATGCAAAATATTTATTTATATTTTATATCAACTGCAATTTTTTAATATATTGTAAAATTTTGTTATATTATTCTGTTTGCTGATAAAATAAAATAATAAAGTTATCTATTCATTTGGCAATATTCTAATTTCTTTCCGATGAGTACACTGATAATCTGAAACTAAATTTACAAGGACGTAAATTACTTATTGTAGTTATGGTTTCTTTCATACCACAATCATAAAAACGTAATATTATTTACATTAATTTGATTTTGTACAAAATTAATATATATTTACATAAATGTTTGAATTTATACTTATAGATTAATTAACTTTTAATTATATCCATCTGAATTTCAAAATTTTCAATTTATATCAATTTTTTGTACTGATTGTGGCAGGAAATATAGTTTAAACTAAGATAAGTAAGTACGTCCTTGTAAAATCAATTCCAGATGATTGGTGACCTCAGAACATTACAAAACATGGACTTCTGTATCAAATTGCAGCATCGGAAAGAGGATGGGGATTCTGTCAAGGGAATGGATACAACGGATCTAGCTTAGCGGCAAAAGGTAACTTTACGTAGAACGGAAGATATCAACCTAAATTATTTTTATGATAAATTAAATTATTTGTAAAACTGTTATATATTCTCGAAAATATGTACATTACAAGAATAATCTTAAAGCAATTTGCAAAATGAAAAAAAATAGATATATATTATGATTGAATTTTAGAGTTGTTTAATTAAAGTTACATGTAAGTTTTAAGTTGAATTTATCTATTTAACATATTACATAATATTTCTATAAATAAAAATCAAGTACTAAATCCTTATTTAGTTTCGTTATAGTTTTGGCTATCATTTTTATTTTCAATTTTGATTCTATTTGAAACCTTAATAATTAGAGTTATTATAATAAACATTAATAATAATAGTTATTATTAACCAAAGATAATTCATTTTTATAAATAATTCATTTTCATATTCAAAATGTAATTATTTAAAATACATTTTAAACTTTTTCTTGTTTTGTATTTTTTAATATATTTATAGACAAATGCTGTCATGTATTTAAGTAGTATAATCTTCAAACCTATACGTATTATCTGTTAGATATTAATATTTATATTATTCGAAACCCTACTTTAATTATACTAAAGTTATATTAGAAATATTTAAAAAATGTGAGCTCGTTTTTTTGTGTGGATCTTTAAGCAGTGTTAAACGAATAGTCGCTAAACCAATATATTGCTAGATTTATTTATATAGCAAATAGTATTTTTAATATAGTATGTATACATTTTTTTTTAATAAGAGAAGGTATTGTGGAAATAGAAGGTGCGAATTTTTGTAATAATAATTTTTTAATTTCGAAGTAAAAAACTTTTTAATAGCATATTAAAATCGATCGATTAAATGCTTTTAGCTGAATGACAATCAATTTCATATACCTCCAAATTATAACGCATTGTTATTAAAATAATATTATGCTATTTATATGCTATTTATATGTTTTTTTTTTCGTTATTTACATCCACTTATTTATTCAATAATTCCATTAACAGTTACTTAATTTAAAAAGTATAAAAATATAATTGATAAAGATTTGAGATTTAAATTAGTTAAATGATTATTATCAAGTAATTAATAGAAAAATAACCTAACTTTTGTAATAAATGACTTTTTTTTTTCACACAATACTACAATTAAAAAGCAGGATATTGAAAATTTGTATTTCCCTATCATTAATTTATAATTTTCTTAAATTTATATTTTTGGATTTTCTTTTCTTTGTTATAGAATATATTCTTGTTCAATGTAATAGAATTATAATAACTGGAAATATAGCCTTAAATACTAATGCGTACACATCTCGTTGTTGTTTGCCACTATAAAGATAGTATTCTTCACTAATCTAGTTTAAAATCAGGCATGAAAAAGAATTAAAATGTAGTTTTATTAAAAAATTTTATTCTTTGCAAAATTTAAAGTTTATGGGCAATGGTTTCGAAACATGGAAATCTGACAAAAAATTGACTGGAAAGTAGTATCGAATTCCTCCATGTGAAAGATTAATTGCTAATACAATTCAATTTGATCGTATATTTCAAATATAATTATTAGATAAGGCAATGTTTTAATGCAATAAATTATATACTTTTAGGTGGCGTGCATATGTCAGCGTCACGGGGCTCACCACCTAGTGGCGGTTCATCCGTTGGCGGCGGCGGCGGCGGTACTGGTCAAGGTGGCGGTGGTGGCGCGGGTGCCGGAGGTCTCGGCTCATCTTTAACTTGTGGTCAAAATTCACCGAGCGGTAATGGAGCTGGTAACAATGGTGCCAGTGGTAGTAACAGCGGCACGGGTGGTGCTAATTCCTGCGGTGGCGAGAGCGGAAGTGGCGTAGAGGCGACAGATTGGCGAGGAGCGCACAGCATCGCAGCATTGAGACGTCGCGCGTCCGACGCCTCGCAGCAGCAACAGTACAGTCCGCAGCCGACCGGGCCACCGCCACAATATGGCCACGACATTGAGTACAGCTCCGTTTATTAGAGGGATGACGCCAAAGTGCGTTGAATTTTAGCGGCCGCGAAATCATTACCCGCTTGACAACACTGTTGAACGGCTCCTATCGGTTGTCTGTACTTTTTTGTTAGTTCTTCCTTTTGATTTGTATTTATTATTATTACTTTTTTTTCAAGAAGGATATTTAATTGAAGAATATTTTTATCCTTTATTCTTGTCTGGAATAATATAATAGATCTATAATTAAAATTGATAGGACATGTTAAAAATGAAATATCAGACAGTATGCAGCAAAAATCTAATCTGCTCTACTGATGCAAGAATCTATTAAGTTGATAAGTAGAATAATATAGAAAACGATTATAATACTATATTTGTGTTATTAGTTTTATGAAGTAAAAATATCACGTCATCAATTTCGAAATGTTTGCACTAATTTCATTAACACCTAAACAGTTCCATAAGGCTTTATGATGATTGGAGATGATTCGTCATTAAATGTAATTCGCAGAAGTATCGTACATTTATTATTTTTCAGTCTTGTTAGTTACAAAAATGATTAAAAATACTAAAATTTATAAGTATAAAAAAACAACAGGAAACGTATTATACAAATGTCAAAAATAAATTGTAATTTGCGTTCATTTGATGAAGATGAAGATCTATTAATTTGATCTTTAAAGTAACTACAAATTTTCAATATAGATAACATTAACGGCTTTATTTCTATTTTGGCTAGCTATTTTTATCAACACGCATAAAATTAATATATCTCAATTTTTTGAAAGTATTTTTTTGTAGTTCACTATGTTACGAATTGTATACGTCTATAAATTAAAATACTTATTAAAAATCCTCAAAATATATATAAACATACTTCGTCAAAATTCTATTAACAGTTTTACAATGAAATTCTATTATATTTCACAAACACTTAATGGAAATACTTATTATAGTTTAATATAGTTTAATAGATTATTTTATGTACTTAGTTATTTACGACACTTATAATTTTAATTGAGAAGGCACAAAAAGATATAAAAACATGTTATTATTTAATTGTATCAGAACCAATCATTTTTCATAAATCTTATAAATGAGATAATACTATTTCAAAGGTTAGATATATTGGTTAATAAACCCTACGATAACAAGATTACCATAATTTTTAATATTTAATAAATTAATACTTTAAATTGTCGAAAATTTTTAGAAAATTTAGATTTGTATAACTATTGTGTACAGTTTAACTGCAACCTGTAATATCAAACACCAAAATAATAAATATTTTAATTAATTTTCGTATTATTAAGATAAGTATGTTCAAAATTAATTTATAAAACGATACGATAGGTTACCGCTTCTAATGTATCATGAATTCTCATATTAAGTCAATGACTTTTTAAATAAAAAATATTAATGTTTATCTGATGTTAAGAAGTTCATTATTATTTTAATTAATTTTAATAAAAGGATAAAAGGTACACATGCAATCCTTCTTGAAAAAAAAAAGAAACAAGTATGATTTACTTGTCGATAATAAATTACTGGAATTGTCTTTGAAGTTTTGTTGAAAAAAATCAATGTGTTATATATAACAATTTGCTCGACCGTCGTATCGGCGGCGCGAGTCCTTTGCGTCTTGTATATGAGACGAAACGAAATGTATACGACGAGTTACCTTAGTATCATGCGTGACATTGTAAATATTTAATATAATTAAGGAGACTCCGGTAAGCCGTGCATAGAGAAAAATTTGCACGTTGAATCGAGTCTAGATTACGATGGCTGGACTCGTGCAATGAAATAATGTGTGATGTTACCGATGCACAAAAGTCTATTTTGACTGACTGAATTAATAAACCTTATACAATTATATTTAAATAATTGATTAATATAATTTTTGTTATTTTATTGCATAATTTTGAAGATTCTAGTTTCATCTTACAGTAAAATATTCTTACATTCAATTTTAAGATATTAAAACAATTAATACAAAATTTCTTCTGAATACAATTTAAATTTTATTTTTTATAAGGGAAACAGAAATTTCTCTATCAATAATATGAATACTACTGTATCAAGTTAATATGAAGACCAATTTACTGGAAAATAGTCGGTCACAATTGACAATCATTAGTAACTTCACAAACTGGAGAGGCTAAACACGTATTGAATTTGCTACTAAATTTTCGATACTGTGATTAAACAGAAGAAAACAATATTAAGTTAGTTGTCTTCATAATTGGAGTTTAAAATGGACTATTAACATTTATGAAATCACGTACTTGTACAAGTACTAAGTATTCAATTTTACAAAAGGATAAATTTATCGCTATACTTAACACTACCAACGCTCAGGCGCATAAAGTCTAATCACGTATAAAGTATTATTATGTCGATAGTTGCAAGATTTGCATATGAGAAATAAATATTTATACGTAATGTTCACATAATCTTATAGCTTGAGCATATATTGGAAAACATATTTTTTATTATGTTGGATCCTTGTAAAAAAGTATTAAAGGATGAGAAAAATTTATAACTTTTTTAAATTATAAATCCATGTCATTTTTTGTCATGTATTACATATAAAATACGTACATACACATACAATTTTTATTTACAAATAAAAATTATTCAGATAGTACAGGAGTTTTGAATCTATAAAAATTATTATGGAATCAAATTATACAAATTATATAATATGTCAGTATATCAGTGAAACATAATTTACAAAAATTATTTAATAAATATTTATGGACAGTATAAATAGATATAAAAGAAATTTCTCCAAATTATAAATTGATCATAAATATTTTAATCGATTTCTATATTTCTATAGTAAAATATATGTTAAATAGAATATAATTTAAGTATAATTTAAAACTAAATTTGATGTAACGTATAACCAAAATCAATTTTTAGTATTTATTAGTTACCGTTAAACATAATTTTCATGTACACTAATCTATTTTAAATAAAAAATAAAATTACTTTTATTAAAATATTTTTACTTCATTTAACTAATATTAATTTAGAGAAATTTCTAAAAGATAATAAAATAAAAATTCGTTTTATTCAAAGTTTTTAAAAATTTTATCAATAAAACTGAATACCCTGCACAAAGAAATTCGAAAAAAATACATTTATAAAAAGATGTTTTTTAATCTCACAATAAAGTGTATATTCAGATTTTTACTAATGTATCCATTTATATGCATTTGAGTAAAAGTTAAGGTATTAAAAACATAATTTAATATGAAACCTCTGATAATGTGATTATATATTGTTTTCATTACTATCATCCAGGTATATATTTTGTAAATATACAAAGTACACGTTTAATATGCAAGTAAGGTATAACGAAAGTAAGGTATACATGTGTATGTATGATATTACCAAGCATGAAAATAAGAACAATTATTAACAATTAGGGGATAAATATTTTGTTATTTATTATAATTAATTTGAAACTTAGTAAGTTCTAGAAATTTATTAAGTAAATTTATGAATTTAATACTTAATTCAGCTTTTAACTGCTGATTTTTTACTGTAAATTAATAACTATCTCTTAATAGTGCTAATAGATATTATATTACGTTTTATATATAATAAATTATGTGACAAATTAATTTTATGTTAATAATTTTATTTTATGTAATTTTATGTTACAAATTAAATTGTACAAAATAATATTTTGAAGAAGAAAACATACCTTCATAACAAGTTCATTTACAATAAAATAACCAGTAACAAATTCAAATCAACAAATCAATAATCCATAGCTTATCAGAACGTTTGATTTTTCTTAATTTTTATTAATTTAAATAGTAAAATGCTCTTAAAATTACAACAAATTAAGATAAAAGAAATATTAATAAACCGAGGGCACCAATAACATATAAATTTGATTTTTATTGCTTCAAATATATTACCGTTCAGCCTTTTAATTTGAATTGAATTTCTTCGGTTAGTAAAGAATTGTGTATTAATTAATATTTTAAGATATTTGAAACTATACATAAATTTTAATACCTTGACATACGTATTGTGATATTTTTGGATTCGTCGCTTCTTTTTATCTTTCACTTTACTACGGCGTTTATCCCTTATTCACGAGATATTACAAGTATAATATGCAAGGAATGTATAAAAAAGAAAAATTAACATAAACATAAATAAATAGGAAAAACAGGAATGAAAATATCACAATGGAATAAGTACACGATAATTCTACTACATGTAGAGCGTGTTGCTTAAAATGTATGGAAAAAGTGAAAAAAATTAAAGCGAGAATAGGTAACGATGTGGCGTTATCACAAATTATTCCATAGTTATACGAATTTATCATAGACATTAAAAAATAAAATTAAAAAAATAAATAGAAAATTAAAAATACACGCAAACACAAACACGCAGATGAGCGAGAATCGCGTTAAGTTATGCCGTGAAATAAATAATTAGCTTTAGGCTGTACTATCATTGTACTAACAAGCGTATACGAATTTTCATGTACAAACTAACGAAACGAATGAAGATAAACTACGCTATAAGTTTATTAGATGTTTGGGCTTTTATGAGATGACAAAGCTGATAAATTATGAATGTAACTAAATTTATAATAAAATAAGCAAGAACATATTATATACGAATGAATTGTTTTGTTTTAAAGTTTTATATTCACATGATAGAACTAATTGTAACTTTTATTAATATGTATTATTTAGGATCAGTACTTACGTATTTCTATATAATTGATTGTTCTTTCAATTAATTTATCATTTTATTAACTATTTTAACAATAAATTTTTTATTTTTTAGCTTTTGACCAAAATACAATACTTATTGCATAAATAAAAATTAAGTAGATGTTATTTTTTATAATATTTAAATTAATGTAGATGTTATTTTGTAGATTGTATTACAAATATATATACAATAACATTTTTATATTATATGCAATCAAAATCACATTAAAATTAGTTGAAATTAAAAGTATTACATTACAATAAAATTTCAACAAAATTTGAGGAATCCACATTTTTTACAAATAAATAATATAAAGATTATTAAAAATTGATAAATTGAATTACAACAAAATATTAATAAATCAAATTGTATAATTAAAATTTTGTAAAATATTGAACTTTTTAATGTGTGTGAATTTTACATATTAATTCACAATTAATTGTAATTTATTTGATGTCAACTTTGTCATCGTCAAAATTATTTTATGATTTTTTAATTATATTTGTGTGGCACACGAAGAAAAGATTATATGTTAGTATATTTATAAAATAATATATTTATTTGCATGAAATTTTTCCCAAGACTGACTAACATATGGAAGTATATTAAAAAAAAAAAGTATTACTTTGCATCCGCAATTATATAATTTATGATGAAATTATTGAATATGAGTGTAAAAAAAATAAAATTTACATTAACATTGATATGGATGTATGCATAATAATATTGAAAAGATATTCATTTAATTACGCGCGTTACAAATCATTTCTTGAATGATTTATAATGAAAATTTACCTGAAAAAAATTTATTTTAATTTCATCTTTGTATAGTTTTGTATAGAAGTCAGCTGAGTGTGTAAAATAAACCATTATTAAATATTTTCTTTTCTTTATTTATTACAAATGACTTCATGCTAACACAATAATAACAAAAGAAACAAAAATAATAAGAAACTGTAACTGAATATATTAATATGAAAATATTTGAACTATTTATTATGCAATATACTAGCTATATATTGAATGTAATTTGTGATAAATATAAATGACAAAATGAAACGAGTGGATTTACTTTTATATAATAATGATAATTAATAATTTACCATTGTTCAAAGAATTTTCGGGGATAAATTATATATCATAAAAATTGGTTGTTTTTTATTCAATTTTTGATTCATAATACAGTTAAATTTGCGTTTTCATGAAATACAGAAAAAGAAAATATGATACATATCTAATTTATTATTTGCCTATTTTAAAACATTAATATATTTTTCAGTTAATTAATATTTTTATAGAAAAGTACTTTATAGTTATTTTAAATAATTTGTTGAAATATTGAAACTTAATTTCAAATCTAAGTATTCGTATTATAATTTTGGTTAGCGTATTTATTTAATGTATTCATAATTTGCAAATTTTTTCAAATAAATTTTCTTTCATAATTTTATTCATTATAAATTGCTTATTTGTAGCTTAAGCATCAATAGTTATATAATACAATTTTGTTTCAAATAATTTATATTTTTACTATGGATAAATGAAATTAAACAAAGACAACTCTTATAGCTTTAGCTATAGTTTGAAAATAATAATGATATATACTATATGAAACTTTTAGTAAACATATGTATTGTTTTAGATATGTATAATGTGTAAACAATTTATTTAATCACGAAATATTCATTTATTATTTCAAATTCGTATAAATTATATATATATATATATATTATTAATAATATATACATTATTAGGTAAGTAAAACAAAGTTATAAAAAATTATGTTCATTAGGTATATCTATATTAAAAATTAGTTCTTTAGTCAATTCATATTTCTACATTTTCTTTGGCACATAATACATGAAGTAGAAGATACTTTAATATATAGTTAATATACATCAGACACTTACATGACAGTATTACATATTTGACAGTTTATATACACTTACATATGTTTGGATGAACATATATTCATAAATACACATATTGGCACACATTAACATTATCAAAGTACAGTCTTAAATTCAAATGATTTGAAAGTGAAAAGTAATTCATATTAAACATACAAGAAATATATCATTTTTTATAACTCTATATTTTTATATACCTATATCAATTAATAAATATTGACATATATAAAAATTAAATTTTTTTAAAATGATATTTAAAATATAATTTATTGATTTTTATAGGAATATTAAATTTTCGATATTTTATGAAGTTAATTTGTTAATTATTAAATTTCAAATTTATAAATGCTATTATTATTGTATAACAAATAAATTTCAATTAGTGCATAGATTATGATTAATAAATTTGTGAACAAAATTAATATTAATATGTAGTCATAATTGTTATATAAATTTTGTATTTAAATAATGCACGCTTACTACAATATTATACTTTATTTTGAAATCTTTTAATTTTCAATACAATATCTCTTATAATATTTAGAAAAAACTAGAATTATATTTATAAAAATTCATATGTATATTTTTTAAATTTATTTCCTTTTTCGATTTCAAATTTATTATAACAAAACTATACCTATTCAATTTGAATGTTAAAGTTTTATACATTTTAAACATTGCTTAAACTTATAAAAAATATTCGTAATTTTTAAGATATGATTCTAAGAAGGTAAAACAGTTTTGCGAAATACGTGATATGTCGCAGATATTGATATTAATACAAGTAATGACTTAGGTAATATATAATTTGATAAATCAACGTTGTTTTAAATCTTATATTCTAATATTTGACTATAATCAGAGAAATCGTTAATTAGCTACAAATTATAATATAATTTACTACATATATCAAATATTATCTACATTATTTATATTATTTCTATCTTATATGATGGTCATTTTATATTACTTTTGTTTCATTTAATTCCTTTTTAAAATAATCATTATTTACTATACAAAATAGGAATAAATATTTAAAAAATTGCATAAAGCATGAAAGAATGATGACATATATTTATCTTTAATAATGAAGAAATACATAATTGAAGATTCAAGCAATAAATTAAATTAAACTGAAAATATTGTGCTTACTTTTTTTTCTATATAATTTTCTCTCAAAATATATTATGCAATTACTTTCTATTAAACAAGTTTTTCTAAGCTGTTTTGCAAAATTTCATCATCTGATGTCTCAGGTTCTGTATTTAATTTGCTAAAATCTCGAGTATTTGGTCTTCCCTCAAAAAACTTCAATCTTTTACTTGGTTCTAAAAGATTTTTAAGCTTGAAGTTGTCCTTTTCGACATCCCAGTTTGCCCGTCTCGTGTAGATTGGAAAAAAGCATCCTGCTTTTAGAAAATATTAATTTAAATACAAAGAAAAATAATCAATAATCTTTTAGAAATAGATAAATTAAATAACAGTTTCATGGAAAAACATGTTTTAATAGTTACTAATATTACATTATTATAACAGCAAAGGCATATAATATAAATAATCATTAAGGAAGTAAAACACATGCAACATAACATTTTTTTATAATTCAAATAATGATTAATGCATTGCAATAAATATTATGTACATAATAGTGAAGTATGATGAATTGTTTTACTACAAATAAAATATAAATAAAAACTGGGTATTCGCAATAATATAACTACAATACATATATACAATGAACTTAAAAAAAAAACTTTTTAAATAAAATTTGATTTTCTTAAATATATAAGTACAAAAGTAAAAACATTCATGCTCACAATAAATTAAAAATAAAAACTAGATTAAAATTCTATTTCTATTCGCCGACTAGTTTCCTGAATTTCACATCAGGCTCTTCATAACGAGATTTTCTACCTCTTTTTTGATATCTCGCTAGGAGGGCTGCCAAAAAGATGCAGAAGCCAATAAAAAATAATGCCGTAATAATTGCCACTATTACAAGCGTTTTTTGAGATGATTTTTTAGATTGTACAATGCTGCCATCCTGCAATAGTGTTGAATGAGCTTCTGTAGTATTTTTTGATTGAACTAATTTTAATGAAAAATTCAAATTTTTTGTATCTAAAAAGATAATTGAAATAAAATTATTTTTTAAATTGCTTAATAGCATTACTATTGAGAATACAAAATTTGTATTTTATTCAAATATATAGTTATTAAATTATAACGTTTGATTAATTTCTATATTTTATTCAGCATATATTCTCAATAAATCATTATAATTAATAAATTAATTTTTATATAAATAGTTTAATAACTGTTTATAACCATAACTCTTGAAAGAAATTAATTTATACAAACATCACTAGTGAATTTATAAAATAAACTTATCATAGAATTACCTTGATTAAATTTATATATTTTATGCACATTAAGTTCAACCACGTATATTTCACGTTCATCAAATGTAACTGCTATATCATGAGGATTACTCATGTCCATATGAGGCCCAAATTGTGACAAAATTTCTCCAGTATGTATATTTAATACAAAGCCTCTAACATGTGTCCCTTCTGATAATCGATTTCCATTGATTAAATAAAGTCGATCTTTAGCATAAGCAATACTGTAAATTGCTTCTCCTAAAATAGCATTCTTATATTCTCTATGGAATGATCCATTACTAGCAAAGTTGCAAGATATTCTTGCATTTTCTCTATCTGCAATGAATATATAATCATATTCTTCAGCAAGTGCAAGAGCGTGAGGTACCAGGAATGCATTCGATGGTGGTGGATTCTGATATAAAGGTTTACCTAAAATAAATTAATAAAAATTATTTCTATTTATTATATATATATATATATATGTATATATAAGATCATTTATTTATACTATGTCTTAAAACTTGTATGATAATGGTGATAAATTTTGTTATTTGTAAAATAAATGTATTTTTCATGAAATGTATTTTCCATTAAAAATTTATGTTAATAACAATAACTGCATTTATTTGAAATACCTTCAAAACCCCAAGTTCTTCCCCATTGTAGTATTCTTTCACCATTTTTATTGAATTTAATAATTCGGGAATTACAATAACCATCACTAACAAAAAAATCTCCGTTACTTTGAATAGCTGTCGCAGTTGGTTTACAAAATCTAATATTATCATTTCCTGGTTGAAAAGCTTCACCCAAAATCAATGAAGGCTTTACTAAGCTATTTGCAAATAAATTATTAATGTCAATTGTTTCTGACATACTAGTTCGCTGATTATATCTTCTTCTCATTTGTTGCTTATGTTGTTCAAGATCTTTAGCATCGAATTTAAAAACTTGATGCATAGCAACATCTGTTATCCAATAATTTCCTAAAGAGTCTATTGTCATACCATGTGGAAGATAGAACATATTTCTACCCCATTCTCTTAGTACCTTACCATTCTTATCCAAAAGAATAATTGTATTATCTCTTATTGGTCCTCTACCAGTAATAAATTTATTGTCACTTCCAAAAGTGGAGGCATCCCAAATTCGTTCTCCTCTATGAAAAATACCAATATTTCCATATGGATCAATTGTTACTGCTGATATTTGTCCAAAATTCAAATTAACACCCCACAATTGATCCCATTTAATATCTACAACAAAAAATGATTAAAATATCTCAAAATATTGATAAATTTTGATAAATTTTGCGTAGAATCAATGGTACTTTTTTACATGTTTAAGCTACATTATCAGTTATTTAATTAAACAACTTGAGATTTTAATAAAATGAAAATACATTATTAAAAATAATTTTAAAATATATATAGAAAAAATTTCTAAAAAAACCATTGTTAATTACTCACTTGGATCTAATTTATCTGAAACATTTGTATGCATAGGAATAGGTAAATAAGTGTTCTTATGAAATGGTTCATCTAACGGAGAAATTGGAGGTTCCAGTCCACTATCTCTTTCATCAATATCAGGATCTAAGTACTCTTCAGAAGCAAATTTATGATTTTCCAAATGATGTACAATTTTCTACAAAAAACATTAATATAAATTAAAATAAATCAGATAATTATTTCCTATTAATGTGTTGCTTATAAATCTGTTCTAAAACTAATTTCAAAAACTACCGTTCTTATAGCTCCATTGGAGAGAACACATATTTCCAATATTAATAGACAATAATAGTAGATAATTTTGTGTGAAATATTCTCCATTCTTGCCTCGTAGCGTCATGAGTTTCCTTCAATAAAAAATTGACGATTAAAATTATTTTTTTAAAACAATACTTCCGCGCTTTTAGATTTACGTTTGTTATGTTGTGATATATTTATATTGATTTAAGTGTTGGCTGATAAAACGGAGGTTACTGCTCATGCCATTGCTGTTATCCGAGATACAACTGCAGGTCTCTTTCTGTTTTCTTTGATTTGCGTTTTGTATGCTCGAACTTGTATATCTTTACCATTCGAACGTAAAATCCATATCTTGCAATTCTTGTTATCACTATCTCTTGTATATATGGCTACTTATTTTCCCGTATGTCTTTCCTTGTTCCACTATATTATTGACACTTGTTGAGCATCAGAGATCCATTACAATAACTTTCTAATACTAGAATTAGTTTTCACGTAGCATCGCTTTAGCAGACTCTTCAGCGGCACGTGCAGTGTTTAATGATACGTCAGATATTAAGTGTATATGAATTCGCAGTGCCCTACACTTATATAACAATATGTTGACGTGTCATTAATTTACGGTTCATTTTAATAGTTTCATCCTTCTGCAGGTTTTCCTCGTTTCGCTTTGGTTGTAAGACGTATATAAACAACGTAACTGTATAATTATATCCATGGTTGCCGTTCTATCAAATATAAAGTTTTTGTCATGCACGAATATACAAATGCATATATATATATATATATATATATATATATATATATATATGTATATATATATGCATAAATATTTATCTATAATGCACCCACTCACTCCATATATTGTTCTTCATTCTATAGGTCAATACATTTCTGTTGGCACATTTGGAATAGGTTATGAAATAATGTTTTTATATATTACAAACAGATGTCACTAATATCGGAATTAAGATAAGCCAGATAATAATTATATTCCCAATTTAACTAATTTATTTATTACATCGAATGTGTTAAAAATTCTACGAATATATTTGACTTTTTTACATTTATGAAAAAATACTAAGTGTTCTTTATTTATTAGAAATGAATTAAGGGCGTAAAGCATCTCTTATGGATATTTATTAATCATTAACCAAATATATGCTTTATAATTATTTGTATCAATATTTGTAAGAGATAGAATTATTTATAATACAATTTAAAATTTTAATTAATACAGTTTTATATAAATTTTTTATACTTTTTCAATTTTTATGAAATCATATTTTTATGAATAATTTTATTTATATGTATGTTTTAATAACAAAATTAGTTAATATTGTAAATTTGAACGATTTATTTATGTATATTCTTACATGAGTAATTTTTAGAATTTACAAGTTTCCTATTGAGATTTATTGAAGTCTTATTAAAATTATTTGAATTTATAACTCTTTTTAAAATAGTTTAAGGAGCTAATTTTTTTTACAGGATCAAAATTTATAAAGATGATTATCTCAGGAAAAAATTTTTTTTTAATTACAATTACTTAACAGTATTAATATAAAATTATTAAAAAAATATTTTAGCGTTCCATTATTTATATAAAATGAACAGTAGTTATAGGTAAATTTCTATAAATTAGTGGCTATATCGAAGAATTATTAATATTTATAAATTCTGTTATCTTATAGATTAAACATATTAATAAAATGAAAATTTATAGAGGTGGATGAGTTTTAAGGCACTTAAATAGATGCTCTATGATCTTTATCATAAATTATTTATGTATTATAATATTATTTGAAAAATAAAATAAATTAAATAGGTATATTTTTTAAAAAGAAAAGAAAAGAAATTAATTATCGAAAAATTCTTATATTTAGAATATCAGATGTTCCTTAAAATGCTTTCATAATTATTTCAACAAATATAATATTAGATTTTTTATAAAATTGTATCTTATATAATTTACAAAGCTTTCACAAATTATATGCTTTTTCATATGTAGAACATATGTAGAATTTTCGTAAATATACATATTAACTGTAGATTGAAATTATATTATAACCTTATTACATTGATATATTCGTTGTAACTTAACCTATATTGTACTGTGTTATGTTCGCTTTGTGATTCACGTACTCTGCAAATCCGTTTCCTTCCTTGTAACCGCGTCGCCTGGAGAGAAGTGGGTTTAGTTCCTTCCTATAAAAAGGCTCGGAGTAAAGGCTTCGGCTTAGTTATTCCGAGTCGTTCTCATATTGACATAACTGATCTAAGCATTGCTTAACAGTACGCTCTTTTGCCTTTTACGAGCGTTGCCGTTTGTTGCGTTTCTCTGTTTTTTTTTTTTTTTGTGAGCACTACTTTTTATTGCGCTTTCCTGATCCTTCCGTACGTTCCCTTTCAATGTACTTTTCGACTCGAAATTTTCCCTAGTGAAGCATGGAATTTCTAAATCTATATAACTCGGCAAATTTATCAATTACCGGTTTATTATTCATACATATATCATATCTGTTTTATATCATGGCTAATAAACCTTTTATTTAAAAATTAAATATATTTTTATATAGAAATTTGAATTAATTTTTTTATATTCATTTATTTAGCATCCTGGTACACATGTACGAATAATAATACGTACCTCTAATCAAATTATCAATACATAACTAGCTTTATAATTTATGACATTTGAAGGAATTCAGCGGTCGTATCGGAATCCATCAATTAATCAGTTAAAATGGTATAGGTGGTATATTTTGTAAAACTATATTCAAGAAAAATGCCAGTCACTACATAAAATTTTTGTATAAATTGCAATTTAAACAACTTTTTGCGATTAATGTAATCACTATAGGTAATGCTCTACCTGCTTTAAATACTTTGACAAATCAAATATTGATAGAATTGTCCTTTATCTATGTACTTCACGGAATAAAGTATTTTATAGTGATAATATCATCATGACTACACAGATTCGTTTGCGGGTAAATTAGTCTTTTGAAAAAATCAATTCCATTATTGGAGTTTTTCAAATGAATATCAATCTATAATTTATATCAGCGTTACTGTCTTAAGGAATTGAATGCCTGTAAGAGTTGAGACATGTATTAGTAGACTACTGTTCCTTAGACTTCTATTACTGTTGACTTCTATTTTTATTATCCGTAGTCATACCATTTACATACTGTTGTTAACATCTACTATGATCCCAAAAACAACTGAAAAATAAGATGAACTCTGAACGTTCAAGTCTTATCCACGGTTATGATGTGTCTGCCGACCGCCAAGTGATGAATGGATGAAGTGGGCAAATGCACATTATAACCCCAACTAAAACCAGGGTTTGAAGACGCGATATAGCGTCAACTATTGTTTTATTGAATATATTACAAACCAAGGAATGCGGTTACATGTGTTTCCAAGAATCAAAACGACCACATGGTATCATTGAAGAAGGGACAAGCTGTTGCTCAGCAATCAAATAAATTGTCGAGTTTTGTCTCTTCGCTATTTTCATGTCTCTATCACTTTGTGTCCTTCTATTTTACTCTTTTTAAAATTATTCTTCTTAAGATGAAATCCCTCCACAAAAATTATCCATTCTATTTGAACGGGAAATACATACAATTTAATATACCTTGCAAAAGATCTCACTGTCACACGTTCATCTACTTAAAATGAATAAAAATGTTTTGTTAATCCGATGGAATGTTATTTTGAATATTTTTTCATTAATATATTATTATTTAAGATTAATTTTTTATGATTTAAAATAATTTAATAATATTGTATTAGATACAATATCATTTTTAATTTTAGAATTATAATATAAATTTTACTTTATATTAAAATATAATAAGAGTTTGACTCTAATAATCTAAAAATTTGTCAAAATTATTAATTATTGTGAAATGGTAATGTCGTATATCTCTTCAACAAAGATTAATTTCAAATTAAACAATTTAGATTAGTATACTTATGAATTCTTGTATATATAATAACTTTTACATAATGAACATGTAAAAAATTCAAATAAACAGTATAATGAAAAAGTAATTAAATCTTTTATAAATACTATATAAAATTTATTTAAAAAAAATCAGACAATGTGTTTAATGAATGTTTGATATCCACATTTTCATTGAACAAATAGCATAAATTATAAAAAATATATTTATATTTATAAAATTTAATATATGATAAAAACATGACTAATCGATACAAATTTTAAGCTTATCTTGTCGTATGTAAGAAAATAAATAGTACAGTTTATCAATTTGTTTTTATTTATCATAATATAATATATAAATGCATTTTTATAGATTGTAATTTGTATTAACATTACTTTAGATTTAAAACACTGTAGTTAAATTATTTTTTGTACTACTAAGTTTCTTCGAATTATATGTTATAAATAAATTTTTAATTACTTTTTAAAAAAATAATATCACTATATATAATTTTATGGTTTATACGCCAATAGTAAACATAAAAGTTTAATGAAAATACTTATCCTAAAAACTTATTTTTATTTTCAGTTTGTAACTGTATTTGATTGTTTATTGTACAGTGAAATGAGATCAAGAAATACTCAAAAGATATTGAGAAGATATTTGGACTGCTTTTGGTACTCTGGACTGTTACCAAAACTTTAACTAGTGGCGGCAGAGCGTCGATAGGTCTGCTGAGACAGTATATATAACCGATTCTGGAGCCACGCTGTCGCTCATCGATCTGCTAACATTACATTCTTTTTCTCCTTACTTTTTTACAAGACGTACTTTAAACAGAATAGACTTAATATTTATCAATTTATCAATTTACTTATCAGTATCAATACTAACCAGTATAAATACCAACCAATGAAATTATTTAATGAAAATAATATTAATTATTACATATTATATAATAAAATTGAATTATAATAAACATAATATAAATTATTTTATATTATTATTTACATATAAAAATTTAATAAGAGAATTAATTAAATTTGTTTAATCAATATCAGAGAAATTTTAAATAAACGTAAGTTTAATTTTTAAATTATAAATAAATACTCGAAAATTTGAGTTGTATTACTACGATTATGAAAACATGGTATCTTTGTATAAAACGTAAAAATGAAAGGATTTTACATACCTGAATGTAATTCAAAAATTTACGTAGTTTCACTGTAGTTTGTCAGCGCACTCGATAAATGTATGAATACAATTAATTCGACAATACTAAGGTACGCTAGAGTAAATAGTTTGGAATTTCGATTCGCATGATTTGAATACTAATAATGAAGGCGATTCTATTTCCTACATATATATTTTATGAGAGCCCGGTAAAATCCCCAAGCAACCATGTATAGATAATCGATAAAGAAAACGAACGTATAATTCAATTGGTTAGTGCTTAACCTTCTTTTAAATAGTTTTAAAAATAATAATTTTAGACAGAATATATATAGTTATATAAAAGGCATAAAAAATATGAAAACCTGTAATTAGATAATTACTTTAGAGCAACGTTTAAGTACATTAGTATTCTGATTTCTGATAATAA